AGGATTATCTCGTTATATTGTTCAAAGTTTAACGATATTTACCAAATTTAAAATATTATAGAATTTATTAGCTAAATTTGTCAATTGATGGTGAATAAAATATTTGATAATAGTAAAACGTAATTTTTTTGGTTACCAAGCTAATTCTAACTTTAGGTACTTGATTTTCGATTATCCAAATAATCGTCAATCTTCCTACCTAAATTATTGGTTGATAAAACATTTTGAAATTTAATTGTACACATTGATGGTTACTTTGATATTTAAAATTTTTTAATTTATATTAAACATTGACAATTTCACAAATTGACGGTAATTATAATTGGTTGATATGCCTATCAATGATCTGAAATTTTGGGTCTTTGTTGCTATGACTGAGCCGTATTTCTTTGGATTGACAGAGAAAAAATTTTTTTTCTTTTTTCTTATGCAAATATTTCATAGAAGTAAGTAATTTCAATAGAAATTTTCAATTTTTTCCCGTGGAAATATCGTTAAAAAAATCCAAATCATTTCCTACCCAATGCTTAAAATATTTCGACCCCAGAATTTAAGATTTTTTCAATTTTCAGTTGGTCCATAATTGAATGAAGGGCGAAAAATATGTTCGTTATACATTTCCACATTCATTGTTACCTTTTCGATAGCAGAAAAATATCTTCATCAGTTATTATTGGCCATTTTATCAGCCTCTGCGTTTGTAGGTGATTTCGCCCAGAGTTTGTGGGTAATGCCGCCCAGGGTTTCTATAGGGTTGCTAGACTCTGCAGCTACACGGAGAGAAATTTTTGGTAAAAAGTATCGTGAAATCCAGATAAAAATTACCCGGATGGAAGGGTAATTCTGTACTAGTAAAGTATTTTTGGAGCAATAAATATCCTTGGTGTGGATACTTTTTAATGAACATTTTCGGATAATATTTGTTCTTATCTGAGAAAAAATAGCCAGTACGCGCGGATAAAAATTATTACATATCTTGGTAGTTTTTACAAATATCTGGATAAAAATTACTGTTCCAGAATGGTAAAAAATACTAACCTTACCAAGAGATTTCTTCCACGCAGAGGTTAATACTCCAAAACACTCGAGTGTTACCGACAGAGCTCAAAGTGTTTTTACTACGAGACATTCTACTGGTAGAATTTATTGTTTGGAAGGGTAAAAAGTATCGCACACATCTGGTTAGTTTTTGATGCACACGATGGGTATAATTTAATAGAATTGGGTGAATAAAAATGGTTCTATGAATTTTATCATAATTACCAGGATAACTATAATTTTTATCATTCACATAGATATTTTTTGTCTTTGTCTATATACATTTTGACGAATATATGGACAATTTTTGGTTCCTTCGGCGAAAATTACCATACGGAAGGTTAAAATTTATTTTACATATGATAAATTTTATTATTTAACACCAATTTTTGCCGAACTTCCGGATATAAATCAGACGAAAAATTTTAATAATACACGTTTATCCTTGTGGAAGCATAATTTTTACCAAAATTTTTTTTACGTGTAGAGGGCGGTCGAGTGACAGCTCGATTGTTTGGAGTAGTCGGAGGCCACTGGAACATCAGGTAAATTCAGGATAATTGATTATTATTCACGTGAAATCTTCCTCAAAATGGAGCCAAAGAGTGGAAACGAAGGATGAAAATAGGAAAAATTATAACAGTTGGTCTGCATTGCTCAAAAAACTCATCAAAACAAGGTGGACGGTATTGGATGCATGCCGGACTGTATCATCCTCAAAGTTCGATTCCACCGCTCAATGGCCGATGGCAATTGAATTACATAATTAAATATGTTCAATGTTAATAAAAAATCTGTCCTCTTCACATCTGTGAGTAAACCCCTCGAAGAACCCATTCTAATCGTTTATGACTCCTTGTAGAGTGCGGGGCTGGAGAAAAAGGCTCATTGCCCTTAGGTGGACAGTACGTGCACCGGCTCCCCTAGTAAAGCGAGAGGGAGAACAATTAAATTCAATCGGTTCAATTCAAATGAGAATTTCAAGGTGGCACGCCATGAAACCATTACTATTTATACAATTAAAACCGCAAACCTCTACATTATAAATACATTCTTCCCCATTTTCACTTGCCCTCTCACCCCCCCCCCCCCCCCCCCCCCCCCCCCCCCCCCCCNCCCCCCCCCCCCCCGCCCCCCGGAGCCAGTATTAAGGGTGCTTTGATAAATGCAAATGATTGGTATCCATCATCGGTTGAAGTGGGCGTAACTCGTTTCACGGCAATTTTTTCCCCCTTTTTTCCAAACATACGTGCTACCTATACCTATTATAAATGGCGTGAAAAGTGTGCCGGTGTTGGGGTACAAAAGCTAGGAGAAAAAAGCGTATATCCGTGAGAAATAAAACGTACATTGCGTGTTGACGGAAAAGATGTTATGCACGGCTGGGGGAGAAAAAAAATTGCAAAGTTTTCTGGCTTCCGGTGGAATAGGATCAGCAATTTGTATTCTTCATGTCGTGTGTTGTAGAGAGAGAAAGAGAGACGAATCGATACAAAATAGAGAGGAATAGACAGAGGAGAGTGAGTTTGTGCATAAAAAAAAGCTAGTGATTTTGAGTCCTGGTGTACGATTTACTACCGATACTGAGCGTTAAAAATGCCTAACGAGTCACACTGCGTTCCGTATTTACGTGTACACATGTGTGTTTTTACGTGACGGGGATGTATTTATCACGCGATATTGATCGCATTCACGTGCTCCACTCATTGCTAACGCACGTGGAATAAATCCGTCCTCCATCGCTGGTTTCTGGGATGTGTGCACACCACAAAATCCTCTACCGGGAGAAAAACAGACCTTTGCGAGGAAACGTACATTTTCATCACGCTGTGCGAAAAAGTAACTTTTTAGGCACGCTTCGCGTGCCTAAAACGTCCCTTTTCCACACATTGTGATGAAAAATATTGGTCGATACTCGTGGGAAAAGTGTTTTTTGGCTCGTGGGAGGTTTATAGCACGAGCCGAAGATGAGTGATATAATCCCACGAGCCAAAAAACACTTTTCCGCACTCGTAACGAAATATACTATTTCGACTCGAGGAAGATTTTTCACAGACCGGAGTTATTCAGTTTGAACAGATCAGAGAATATACCATTGGACGAAATGAATTCGGTGGTAAGAGGATTGCCGCATAGAACGTGAAAAATATTTTATTTCCCGTAGGGTAAACGACGGGCCAATAGATGAACGGTTAAGGATAATTTGATGTCCGTCACGAGATGAAACATTGGTAAATCGTCTAAATACGTCGACGATGGTTTCTATATCTAAAAAAATATATGAATTATGAAAGGAAAAAAACGAAAAAGTAGGACAATAGGTAGACGACTGACCAGAAGATGGACGGTGGGTTACTAATAGATGCACGGAGAGGAATGTTCGAAGAGGAATGGGAAATCGTTTTCCGGCAATTTTTATAGGAATGGAAGAGAAGAAATCTGAAACGTTTAGTGAATTCTCAGATTCATCACCGAACAAAGTTCGAAATTGTCACGTAATTTTTCCCGAAGTAAAATTGTACAGAAACTTCCCGACTTATTATGCCTCCGAAATCAGAAATTCTTGAACGTTCAACAATTTTTATCAAGCTGGTGAGTTATTTATACGTTCCGTTCCGTAAAATTTCTCAATCGTTGGGGAAAAATTACGGAACAACTTGTTGTTCCCACAGCGGTGAGTCATAAGACGGGGGTTAATTTTTAAGGAACAAATGGTAGAATTTACGTGGCGATTCGTACAATTTCAGTTCCGACTCACATTTTCTATTAAATTTTACTTCGCTCGCGGATTACGTTTCAAAACGTAATTTTTAAGTTTTTTTCTCTGGGAATTTTTCATTGAATTTTTCTCTCCGTGTAGACGGTCATATTTAATGGTTATCCAAACAAATTTATCCTTCTGCATGTTTATAAATGAAGAGCCTCAGAAATTGAGCCTCAATTCACGTTATCATTTTGGGACTGAATGAGCCTGGGACAATCACTTTTCGGATATTAAAATTTGCCGTGATGCTGCACTTTAATGGTAGAAATACATGATTAAATTTAAGATTTCAGTAGCGAAGTGGCCAAATGGGTTAAGTCAATTTGGTCTTTAGCTTAGTTTTCGAGAAATATTTCCGAATTTAAGGGAGATAGCGAAATTTTCATAATAACCTTTTTGTCAAAATTCTGATCAGGCCAGATATCTGTACAAGGAAGTACCACAGGGAGGCGTCCTAAGTCCTCTCCTATACTCCATTTATGTTCTGGATATAACCAAGAATACTCCTGCAGGGGTTACTGTTTCTCAGTTTGCAGATGATACTGGGGTCTATACTAGTGGGAAAAATAATACAGAATCCATACAAAAAATAGAAAATGCCATAAAGGTCTTGAGTAGAAATCTGGAAAGGATAGGACTCGAACTCACTCCACAAAAAACCAAGTTAATCCATTTTTCTCTCAAAAAGAAAATTAAATCTCTCGAAACCACAATTACTATAGGGAATCACATAATTAAGGCATCGGAATCGGCTCGTTTTCTGGGCGTTATTTTGGACTACAGGTTACTATTTCGAAACCATGTTGAATACATAGAGAAAAAAACTCTCCGAGCTCTCAATCTTATTAAATTTTTGAGGGGTACTTGGTGGGGGTGTGAACCAAGTACGTTGTTGATACTTTATAAAAGTTTCATCAGATCAACTTTGGAATATGCTCTGGGAGTTTACTATCCAACAACGAAAAAATTGACCTACATTCTAGAGAAGATACAATTTGAGGCGCTCCAAGCTATCATGGGATATCGGAGAAGTACACCTACAAACGTAATGACTGCTGAATCCAAACTCCCAAACATAAGAGAACGAGCCAAATTCTTGCTAAAAA